TTACTACTTTGAGAAAGTTTTAAAGGTCACAAAATACAAAAAAACTACACTTTTCCATACATTTGCTGTTGGTTGTACATTCTAAAATGTGCGTTACCAGTGACTGTGTACAGAAACATATTAGCAATGCCAAGGTATCGTATGGATGTTACCTTATGAAAAATTAAAGGGCATTTCATTGGTAAAGGTGTATAAAAATAAAACATTGACCAATTGTACTGACTGTCAGTGACTGTCCTTCCTTTGTTAGAAGAAAGGGTGCTTATCTCCTAATGATTCTGAAAGAGCTTGTAAAAAAAACCCAATAACTACGGTACAAGGATAAAGAGGAATACAGGAAACAAGAGCTTCTTATATAATATTCTCAAGGATACCACACAGCTCAGCTCCCAGTTTTCAGGTAATATGTTTGAATGTCATATGTGCACACGTGCACCTCACTAATTACAGAAGACAACTGTTCTTGCTCGATGGGCAAGATGTTATTCTTATTAAATGGACACCTGGGGGTTTTTTGCACTCTTCTGGTATATAAAAACCAAATAACAGCCCTCAGCTATTCTAAGATTTTCCTCCATTTTACCCAGCCAGCTCCCACTTCAGTCCTACTCTTAGTCCATAATAATGAGACTCGTTAAAATTTCTCTAATCATGAAGAGAAAGATGTTCACCTAAAAAGACATAGTAATGTGTACAGCTCTCAGACACCTGTTCAATATTTCTTTGTAGGTGGATTTAGCATAAAAAATTCTGTGGCATTTTTTAGTTAAAACTGGCGTCTTTAAGTAGGAAGACATTGAAGGTGTCACATGGACTTCAATTAAATTGCATGCCTCCAGACCTGCTTGTGCTCCTACATATGTGGAAGTTAGGTTTTCATTGATACAATCATTCTGAACAACTTATTACTGTAGGAAATATAGCCAGGTATATTTAATTTTATTCACTCTGGCTTGTGACTGGGTTTGGAGATTTTTAATTCTAAGATGCGATTCTTTACCACAATAAGCTCATCGTCCCAATTTCACCTGGTTGCCAGTCCTGTTTTTGTTTTCTTGTTTCTTTTGACTCTTTCTTACTTCTTGGTCTTTCCCTCAGCTACTTTGCTTTCATCCTTGCTTTCTGCCTCTGCCTACACTAGGAACTCCCGCCAGGAGTAGGAAGCTTGGGTTGTGCCTGTCTCCCTATTGGATTTTGGAAGTAGGTAACCTTTGAATGAGTTTCTTGGGCCTATAGATGGAAAGAATTTTTGCCCAAGATGGATCATACCCGGAGTCTCACCCACACCTGATTCATACGATTGAAGATAATTTAGCAGATGAGATTTAGGATTTTTGAACTGATACTATTTATATAAGATTTTGGACTTAGTGTGGATGCTGTAATATTTTGAGAGTTTTGGGCATGTTGAGATGGGGTGAACATATTTTGCACATGAGATGGACATCTAAGAAAGATTTTAGAATGATCATTCATTTAACACATGGTACAGGGGAAGGAAAAGGAACATCTCCAAGTCCTAACCCCTTGTACTGAGAATACTACCTGATTGAAAGTAAGTCCTTTGCAGAGGTATTAAATTAAAGACCTTGAGATAAGACCGTCCTGGATTTATGGCGGCCCCTACATCAATCATGAGTGCCCTTGCAAGAAACATAAAGGAAAAAGACACAGTGATATCTAAAGACGAAGGGCGTGTGAAGATGGACACAGAGATTGGAGTGATTATCTGCAAACTAAAGCATGTCGACATTTGCCAGCAGCCACCGGAAGTTAGGAGAGTGGAATGGAACAGATTCTCAAGCCTCCAATAGGAACCAACACTGCTGAGACCTTGACTTGAGACTTCTGGTCTCCAGAACTTCGAGAGAATAAGTTTTTGATGTTTTAAGATTGCAAGTTTGTGCTAATTGTTATGGCAGCCCTAGGAAATTTATAGAATAGTCCAATCATATTATCTTCAGTTACACTCCTAGATATTCATCCAATTGATTCTATAACTTATTAACATGTAAAACACGTATGAAAATATATATAGCAGCTTTATCCATACTCACCAAAACTGGACTCAACATTTTGATTGGTGAATGTGTACATAAACTGTAGCACACTCATTCAATGGGATATTTTTCAATGATTAATAAAAAAATAAAAGCTAGCGAGCCAGAAAAGAAACAGTTGTATCTTAAAATGCATATTGGTAAGTGAATGAAGCCAGGCTTTATAGTGGATGCTTCTCATTATATGGCAATCTGTAAAAGGCAAATGTATAGCAATGATAAAAAGATTAATATTTGCCAAGGGTTTGAGTGGGAGTGATGTTGGAGGGGAATTGAGTAGAAGAAGCACAAGGGGTTTTATGACAGAAAAACTATTCCGTACGTCACTAATGGTGAATACAAGGTATTGAGCATTTTTCAAGAACCTGTAGAACTTTGGAGCACAAAGATACAACCCTAACGTATGCAAATTAAAAAATTATTGTTTGGGATGTTGGGGATTCCAGGATGGAATTCAGAATGTGACGAAAGAATCAAACTGAAATATTCATTCCCTTGATGCTAGTCCATGATTCACATAGGCTTTCTTAACTCTTATTCTTTTTCTTTTTGTTCCTCTAACTGGCTCATTTCAGATGATCTGTCTCCGAGTTTGTTGATTCTTTCTTCTGCATAATCAAGGCTGTTCTTGAAGTTCTCTATTGAACTTTTCAGTTCTGTCATTGGATTCTTCAGCTCCGAGCTTTCTGTTTGGTTTTCTATGGTTTTTATTTCTTTCTTAAACTTCTCCTTTTGTTCATGCATTGTTTTCCTGATTCCATTTAGTTGTCTGTGTTCTCTTGCATTTCATCCTGTTTCTTTAAGATGCTTATTTTGAATTTTTGTCAGCCAAGTCATAGATCTCCATTTCTTTGGGGTTGGTCACTGGAGCTTTATTAGCTTCCTTTCATAGTCTCATATTTGCCTGATTCTTTGGGATCCATGTAGCCTGTGTGGTCTCTGTGCATTTGAATAGCAAACACCTGTTTCCTGGGCTGATGAGATCACCTCTAGAACGCAGTCTGGCTGAACCGGAGCCAGTTACAAGGCTGTCGCTGAGTCTGCAGTGGCAGGCTTGTTTCTAGGGTCTCAGGTGAGTCTGGTCTCTGAGTGGAAGGGATTGCCTCCAGGATTTTGTTCAGGAGGGGAGCAATGAGACAAGGGTCCACTTCAGGGTCCCCATTTGGGTCCTCAGACAGTAGGCCTATTACCAGGTGTGCTGCAGATGTGGCTCCCACCAGGTTCCTAGGAGGTCTGCTGCCTGGTCACTGGATGGGTCCTTGGATGGGCAGGACCGTCCAGGACCACAGCTGAGAGGGACTGGAACCCAACCTCAGGGCTGTTTCAGGTTCTGCAGCCAAGATTGACATCCGCAGACCTGGCTCTGGAGGCATGGATGAAATGCATCTCCCACCAGGTCCCTGGGTGGGCTACACTGCTCCCTGATCATGGCTAGAGAGGCTGGAGGGGCTGGAGGAACATTGGGCCTCCTCTCAGGATCTGCTGAGGTGCAGGTGTCTTCCACCTGGTCTCTGTGCCAGCAGGACTTCTTGTGGACTGCCACCAGCAGGGGCTGGAACTGAGTACAGGGCTGTTTCAGGATCTCTGGGGATGCAGACAGAAGCATCTCCTACCATGACCCCCGACACTCAGGACTGCTGGAAGACTGGCAGACTGTGGTTTGTGAAAGCTGGGGCCACGTACAGGGCCCTTTCAGGATCCAGGGGTGCAGGCGGGAGTTTCTCCTTCCTGGCCACTATTCTAGCAGGCCTGCTGGTGGACTGTGGCTGGAGACAGCTGATGCCTAGGATAGGGCCCTTTCACAATCTCTAGGGGCACAAATGGATGTCTCCTCAGGGTTCCTGTGCTAGCAGGACTGTTCGCGCAATGCAGGTAGGATGGCTGGCTCAGTTACAGGCCCGTTTCAGGATCTAAAGTCTGACCAGGTTTGGTGGGCTTACCTCCTGGGGTGCCCAGACTGCAGCTGAGAAGGTCTAGAGCCAGCTCACAGTGCTACAGGGCCCCAGGAGGGACTGAGTTTTCCATGTCTATTACCTGACACATAGGTGGGTGTGACTCCTCTTGGGTCCTTGGTGTACCGTGCTGGAGACAGATCCCAAACCAGGTGGGCCATAGCACTTCTCAGGGCTATGGAGCTGTTTCCATTCCTGTAGCCTGGACCATGTCAGCCACTTGGTTGTTAGCCTGGCTTCTCAAGATGGTTCTCCTCAGTCCTGGACTGCATCAGGGTTTCACAATCCTACCTGGATCCCAAAGCTCCCAGGAAGGCACTTTTGTCCCTGAATGGATGCCAAATTATGGTTGTTGAGGGGGAATACATGCAAAGAACGTCATATTCAACCATTTTGCTGAAGTCACCAGATTCAGATCTGTATTTCTTTTTTTTCTTTGCTGGGAAGTTTCTCCCTAAGCTAACGTCTGTTGCCAATCTTCCTTTTTTCTTTTCCCCCACCCCAAAGCCCCAGTTCATAGTTGTATAAAGTTGTAAGTTCTTCCAGTTCTTCTATGCAAGCTGCTGCCACAGCATGGCTACTGACAGATGAGTGGTACGGTTCCATGCCCAGGAACAGAACCCAGGCTGCTGAAGCAGAGTGCACTGAAATTTAACCACTAGCTCATCAGGGCTGGCTCCAGATCTGTATTTCTTAATATATGTCCCCACAAACTGATAGTAAAGAGAAATTATTATATACAAACAATTTCAAGTTTTACAATTCCATAATAACCTCAAGTAGTATATTTGCATTGCAGTAAATACTTTAAATAGTTTTGTGGTGGTAACTTTGAGGTCTGAATTATTGAGTGACATAACAAATCCATATATTAATAACTGCCAAACGATTGCATGAATGAACAAAAGTTATGACAATTTGGGGTTCTAATATCCAAAGTATAAAATACAACTATGAAGCATATTGTAATGTATTAAAATCTCCTTAGGTAAACTAATCATTTTTAAATGTCTAATTTTAAAAATATTTACAAACTAGAATAAAGTTAAACATGAAAACAAAGTGGGGAACTCAGAAATCAAGTCCTTTAAAACAAATTCATGAGCTAGGTGTGTTCACTGAAGGAAGATGAGTATGCTTAACTATTCAAAGAAATGGTGTACAGAGGAAGTAGTAGATTTAATATTCTCCTAGAAAGAAAATAAAGACTGAATTTGGGTTGTGTAGAGGCGGACTTTGGTTCAGTTTAAATGATGAACCTAACCTTCTGGACACTGGACTTGTATCTTAATATGTTCTTGACGACCAGAGATTTTCTAGCAGTAGATAGAGGATGCTCTTCCAATTGTAGGATAGTGAGTATCATGAATTAGAACAGAAATCCTGTATTATGATGCCTTCTAAATGAAATATTCTATCATTATATGGTTTTCTTGATAAATAGCTCAGTATATCATTAGAAATTAAGGGTTCTGTCATTCATATAATTCTTTTCCAGATGTAACGCTCAGTGATTAGGTTTGACCAAGTGATGGATATTCTTGAGTTCTTCATGAAACAATATAACCTAAAAATAATTTAATTCAAATAAACATGCCATTTTTGAAATTTAATAGACGGCTAATTTGTATCATCGTAGATAGAATGTGCTTCATTCTTCTACCTGAAAAATAAGCAATATTGTGAATCAAAGAGGTTATAATATTTATTGTTCTTCTTTACTTTATTTCCTTTTCTCTAAAAGTAAACTAGAAATTAAACAGTACTTCCAGGTAAGAATTGCCTATGTAAAAAAAGTGTGCCTAATGGAATACATCAGCAGTATTTCATCTCTTCAGAACTTAAATAATCTTAAAATGTATATTACTCTCTAATGAGTAGATGGCAAATACTGAAACATTAACAGCATTGTAGGTGGTAACCTTTTTCTTTTAATTTCTAAAAGTAATGCAGATGTAGAATGTCTAACAATTTATCACTTTATGTCAATTGCATTGTAATAAATACCAATTATCCTGAACTGTCAGCCCCAAATTCTAGTTTCCAACTACTTTTTTCTCAAATAACATTTGGTACTGAGACAAAATGCAAAAGCAATTATTTTTTCATATTGCTAGTATATCATGTAATTGAGTGATGGTTCAGAACATTGAAGACGTCTTTGAGTTTGGAACCTACTACAGTATAGTCCTTTACTTAAGGATAGCTTGCTTTCTCCTCTCTGTCTCCCCTTGTGATTCAACTAGCATTATGGGATGAAATTGCCTTTCAATGATAACTGACTTTGTTTCCATTGTAAAAAGCTTAGTACTCTCATCCCCTACCTTTGAAACTATGTTATAAATATGAAAATTTATTTTCTAAACATTCTGTGAACTGATAAATTTAAATAAGTGAAACAGCATTTCATCCTGATATTTTGGATAAATGTAACCAATGAAGCAGTTCTCTACCCCCTGCAATCATTTGTTTTTAAAGTTTATCATTTATATTGCTCCCTAATGCATTTCTTTTTCTTGTTAAACTCTAGCGAAACACATGGTACTCATGCTCATTTTGGGGTCTCAGATGAGCCTATCTATCATTTCTATTCATGCCTATTTCTGGATTTCTTGTTGAAGAATACAAATACACATACTCAATACACAGGAAAATTTTAAGAAACTTGCACACATCGAATTGTTGTAAGGATACAATTACATTAAATTACAGTTATTTGAAAGCTTTACTAAAAATAAACGTATATTGAATAAGAATGTAAAGAGTATGTAATACTTTAAAATTTATAATGATGATATTTCCATAATATTGTCATCTCTTATTAAATTCTGTTGTTTTCCTGTATAATCTACATTTTATTTTCAAAGATCTCCTCTTGTTGTCATGTGTCAGCCAGACAACGACTTGATTCAATGAGCTGTTTTTCTAAGATTATTATTTAGTGCATGATAAGAGATCTACTTTTTTCTCTTAGCCTAATACATTGATACTTACATAATCCAACATATTTGTTAAGAGAAAATTTGAATATGTGAGATTAATAATTAATTTAGTGTTGCTTATGTTCTGCAATCTTCTATAAAAGCTATTATGGGCACTTGTATTATAATTTCTACCATATTTTATGTGCACTTATCCACAATACATAATTGAATGAAAATCTGAAATGTACACCAAATTCTAAATGGGATATGTATATACTAACTCATCTACTCACAAAAATATCTCACTTAAAGATATGTTAAGGATACAAAGAACAATTCTTTCTCATGACTCCAAGTGGTTATAGGCATAAATGTGTCCATTTCTACTTGAGAATAAACTGTTAAATTTATACACTTTTATGCAACCAGGCACATAACTCAGAACCTCTTGGAGCAAAGGATTTCAGGTTGGAATTGAAGTAATTTCCTGCCACTAATTTTCATTCTTACACTTAGAAAGTGGAACATTGTAGATCCTAAAATAATAGATACCTCTAGTTTTTCTTCTAGAAAGGATATGAAGTCACTTAAAGGAATATGGCTGAGCCCACTCAAAGAAACCCCCACATAATTAAACCTGTTTTGATACGGAATGTGAGAAGCTGTGAAGTAGAAAAAAGGATGCTGATAGCACTCTTAATCTTTCCTGGAGAAATTTGTCTTTTTTTCTGCAGGCAGGAAAAACAGCCCGTCGCTCCATATTTGGGGCGAGATTATTTTACTTCTCCACTTATCTTTCTTCCCTGTGAAAGCACATAATCAAAACTACTGCGTAATTGAAAGCAGCTCTCCTCCCTCACAACCGAGAATCAGGTTGATTAACTGAATAAGACTTTGAAGTCAAACATGAAAAATCCCTGTAAAACTTGTGATGTTTTAATTTTCTACTCAGGATTTCAAAACCTCTAACAGTGGATTCCGTGCTATTTAAAACTCGTCAGGACTGCAGTTATTCAGATGAAATTACAATAAATGTCAGTGAAAGAGAATTTTAATAAGTAAAATAGTTTCTGAGTTAAGCATATTTTCATCCCCTCCAGAATTTCACCACCTGCTCAAGCAGCACATTATCCTGTCTCAGAATAAAGGATGTTCATATTTCTCCAAAGGTGGTAATTAAGTTGGTTCAGTATTAGAGTTGTTTAAAGCATCAGGTTAGCATTTACTTAAGATCAACAAACCTTAACTTAGCCGAGATAGCCAAGACAACATAAAGGAGTAGCTCAGATGCCAGGGAATATGCTGACCATATTGATCGTGGACCATTGGTAGCTCTGATTTTGATATTGGATAACTTTTCTTATTAACTCCTTGTTTAATCTCTTCACTGAATCTATACAAGGAGAACTTTTGTGTTAATGGGATAAGATGCATACTTTAAGACATGCACTCTTATATGCATGTGTACTTGTCTAAATTTATTAACCCTTAGAATAAATACTTTAATAGGAAAAAGTCACTGATTCCCAGAAGGTATTTAGAATATTTATTAGACTAGACAAAGATGATTGGCACTTCCTTATTTCCTTCATTTGCTACCAATGTTTGAGACTAAATCTTCTTCACTTGTTACCTATTGCTGCACAGCAAATTAGCCCACAATTTAACAACTTAAACAACATCTATTACCTCCCCATTTCTGAGGGGCAGGTATGTGGGAGTGGATTCACTGGGTGGTTCTCTCTCAGGATCTCCAAGAGGCTGCGACCTAGATGTCAGCTGAGGCTGCCGTCAACTGAGGGCTTGACTGGGTTGGAGAATCCATTTCCGAGAGGGTTTTCAGTTACAGCTATTAAGAGGACAACTGGATTCCTTGGTGGCTCTTGGTACATGGTCACAGTTCCACATCACAAGGGCCTCTCTCTAGCGCTAGGTGAGTGTCCTCATGATATCCCCCAGAGAGCGTGATTCCTTGGAGCACCAAGTGGCCATAATACCTTAGGATTACCTGGCCTCAGAATCACACAGCATCATTTTTGCAATACTCGGTTGATTACACAGGTCAGGCCTATTTGATGGGGAGTGGATTCTGGAGGAATATGAATACTGGGAGATGAGGTTCATTGAGGTCCATATTAGAGACTATGGTCAATATGTATCTTTAAACTAATATCAAGGAATGTTGGAAATGAAATTATTGCTATTTTATGCACACACACTTTTTCAGAAGCTCCCCCATTAGGAAGTTGCTGAGATTGGTTTTAAAGAATTTCAAAATACCCTTTCAAATGTTATTTCTCACTTTTCCTAATTAAACGGGTTCATCAGGTCAAAAGAGTTATCTCGCTTGCTTTCTCATTTTCTCCTTTATGGTGAATGATTTTATTCACTATTTGACATACGCCCTACTTTTTTGGTATTTGAATAACTTCCATCTTTCCAGGCCTCATGCACATCTTAGCTAATAGACAATGAGACTACCAAAAGCTCTAACCAGATCTAACATTCCAACCACCAGTTTGGACACGTAACATATTTATTCATTATTAGCAAATGGCTGATATTTGTAAAGTGCTTTTTCTTAAGAAGAATTTAATTTTCTTGAATGGACAACATCTTATACTCCTTTTTTAAATTTCTCATCATATCACTCAGGATAATCCAGAGCACAAAATAATCCTTATGCAGTTGAATTATCTGTACAAAGGTAAGCTTCGAGAGCGCCTCAGACTATGCTCTGTGCCAGAGGTGCTCCAACGTATCCGTCCCTGGAGGGAAACAGACTTCACACAGTGACAGCTACTGCCATGATCCTGTAGCCTATGTGATTCCATTATCTGCCATTAATTCATCATGATTTTCCTAAAAATAAAATCACTTCCTGTTGACCACAGTAACTTATAAAAATAAAGTCCTAGAATATATTTTATAAAACTACTCTCCAGTCAGTTTTACTTTCTCGTTAAAAGATTTCTTTTAAATTTGAACTGTTATTTTCAAAAAATCTTCATCCTGGGGATTTTGTCATAACTCAATTAGAACTGACAGCACATTTCAAATTCCACTTTTTCTTTAACAAATTACTGTAGCACACTTCCTTCAGGCTGTACTTTGATTATTAATTAGCACACATATCATGTAGCTAAAGGAAGATAGGCATTTTATGGCAAGGATTTTTCTCCTAATTAAGCATAACGGCTTATTCATTTCCAGTGACTTTGAGGTTAACTTTTAAAAATCATTTTTAACTCCTTCTTTACTTTTCTTAGTTGTAGGATGTAACCTTCTGTGATTTCACCTGTGACTGTGGTAAATATTATTATCTCTCTTACTGCAGTAACGGTTTTCATCTAGAAAGGCAGCTTCTCTTTGTTTGGTTATTGCTTGCTCCTCGTTAAACTCAGCGCTTGGTTGCCAAGTATACTGAAGTTTACAATGCTCTATAATCAGTAAATTTTTTGAATTATGAAAAAAATCAGACGAGTCTTCCCAGCCATCTCTTGGAGAAAATAGGTTGCATGTGTCAGATATATTCTCTAGGACCTGAGGAAGCTTCTATTAATGTATCAGTAATGGATGTATTCCACTATACCAGTTTGAGCTCCAAAGTATGTTTACAGATCATTTTCAGTCTCACTCATCCTGTAATGTTCTCCTTTCCTGCCTGGCTTTCCCTGTCCTATGACGATTCAAAAAGACACCTGAATTCTGACTCCTGTTCAACTAATCAGCCATGCTC